GGATTTAATAAAATAATAATTTATCTAATAAAATAAATCCTCTCTCTCTGTCACACACAGAGTTAACCCCCAGGTTTTAATGGACCCTCTCCCCCAGTGCCATCTCTGGGAGATTAATGGGGGCAGCTGGATCCTGGCGCATGAGCAACTCCCTCCAGGGAGCTCATGTTTAAGTGCCTGCGTAAATCACAGAGGAGGGCTCATAAAGTGAAACAAACTCGTTTGTTATTCGTTTTTAAAGATGATTTAAGGATTCAGTTTCTCATTTATAAAATTCCAAGAGCGTACAACACCAACTCCAGCACTGACGCTGGAGTCAGTGGCAAATGAGTCAATCTCATTTACTGCTTTTGGTGTCTGAATGCTACTGTATGGACTGAAGCCCAGAATTTATTACACGATTACTCCATCACTGACTATTATGTGTGCATGTACCTTACTGGATCTAAGATCCTACAGAGCCTCAGGAAGAAAATCCACAGATGCTGGACGAAGGGTCACTTCAGGATCACACACAGATCACACCCTCCCCCTGCCTCAGCTGGCCTCCAGCTATTGAGGAAAGGGAGGGTCATAAACCTAGAGTTAGGAGCTGCCAATGCCAGTGGGACTAAGGAAAGAATAGTGGAGCAAGTAGCTGCCCAACCAACAATGCCCAAGCTTCTCAAAGCCTCAGAGGTCAGCAGGTTATGGACCTGAATGCTGAGCTTTGAGAATTATGCAGTGCGCAGCCTACTGAAGTGGAAATTTCTGGTTTCCTTGAAGTCTCAATTTTGTCATGGGCTGCTTCGCTCAGGTTGGCCTGAGAGAAGGCACATGGTGTTTTGCTGTGAGCTCTCACGTATGAGGGGCTTGACTTTGGCCAGCTGAGAACATCCGTGGGTGGACTTTGAGGAGAGGACATATATAGCGGCCATGCACAGCGAGAAATCGCTTTATGTGCTGATCTTCATGCTTCAACACTTGACTTCGCTGATAGAAACTTTCCAGAGAGCTTCTCCAGGCAATCCAGCTGAGTCTTGGAACTTACGCTGACTCTGTGTTGCTGCTTTGCGTTAGCCTTTGGACTGGACTGCTGGTATCCTGAAAACTGAGTCTGGTAATTCCCTAAAGACCCATCGACCCTGATCAGCAGGAAATAGATAAAAAGAGGACTATGGCCCTTTTCCCTACTAATCTCCTGCCTAAGTGGAGGTGGGGGGAAGGGGAAAGGGAGGTAAAGGTATTTAAAAACCAGAAATAAAGTGGGTTTGCTGAAAAATCTAAGCCTACAGCCTACTCATTGAGCAAGAGCCCAATCTTTCATATATTCTTCAGCATGGTGTCCTTAGAACTCCATTGTCCTCAGGCATGCTTCAGGCTCTCTCCCCATCTCTGCCTTCCTCCTTCCACCGGGCCATCAAAACTTGGGGCATACACTGCTGACGAGCACCTGGACATATTTAGTGGTTAGACTCTAGCCTCTCTAGGGCAATTTAGCAATAAGAGGTTCTTAAGCTATAAACTCCATCCACCATCATCAATTAACCTTACAGACAAAATAGACACATGAGCAAGGATGTTCTGCATAAAATTGCAACTTACAAAGCAGACAAAAATAGAGTGTTGAATTGCTTATAGTTCAGCAGATTACAATTCAAGTTATTCCCAGAGATAAAACCTAGGTGCATGTCATTAAACTATCAACATTTGTGGGGTGGGATCTTTATGTGCTGACAAGGAAACTAATCTGTCAGAAAGATGAGAGAAGGGGCACACTGAAGTACTTAGCACACTTAACTCTGTAAAAACAGTGAAATTTCCTGTATGAATAAGAACCAATCAGTGATTTGCATCATTTAGGTTTTTTCCATAGCTGGTATGTATCCCTAACAGTCACCACCAAGCCCAGTGAATTCAGATCCATCCCCAGAGCCCACATGGTGAAGGGAAAGAACTAAGTCCCAAACATTGTCCTTATACTTATACACATATTCATACTTGCAATAAATAGACAGACAGATAGATAAACGTAAAGAGTGTTGTTTTAAAGTAGATAGTGTGTCTGGGGTATATAGCTTAGTTGGGAGAGTGCCTGCCTAGCATTCATGAAACCTTAATGTTGGTCTCCAGCCCCATACAAAACCAGGAATGCTGGTACCTGCCTCCAAGGCCAACACCTGAGAGCAGAAGCCAGGAGATCTGAGTCATTCTCATTCTCGGCTACATAATGAGTTTGAGACCACCCTGGGCTACAGGAGACCCTTTTGCAGAAAAGAGAAAAGAAGGGAGAGAATAGTTTAAATAAGCTTTGCCATGCCTCATCAGCCATGGCCAGTCTCTTCCCTGGGGCAAACTAACAGTTATTCTGCAGAAACCAGACCTTTCTTTTGTGCCAGTGCCCTTCTTCATGTGCAACTGAGAAGAGTCTGGACATTTTTTTAAACTGAGATTTATGTTTTTGGGATTCTATGTTATAAGGCAGAAACTGGTCCCCTGGAAGGATCTCTGGTTTAGCTGAATCTCAGTGATCAAGCAAGATGCCCAGAGCCAGGGTCTCTCCCGACTGTGGGTCAGGCCAGCCTCTGCAGTCATCTCTTCAGTGGCAACAGGGCTTGCTAGTGGCTTGCTCTGTAGTGATCCCCATGTAAAGAGAGCTACCCCATCCCAACAGCTCAAGGGAAGGATACAGGATAGAGTCCCTCTACATCTGATGGGTCAGCCAGGCTGTCCAGTCACCATGAACTGATGGACGTACCTTCTAGTATCCAAGGTGGGCCAAGCCCCCTGCCAGCTCATCATTTCATTTATTTTTAAAACTTTGCAGTTTTGCAAGGTCATATGTAGGCCAGAATTCTTTCCTCTCTGGACTTACCTAAGCTCCCAGTGTTCGGTTCTGAAAGGCAAGATGGCCAGGTTTCTTCTTTGATACCATTAATCAAATAAGAGTAATTGGTGTAGTGGTGCATGCCTTTCATCCCCGCATGTGGGAGGCAGAAACTGGCCAATCTCTATGAATTTGAGGCCAGCCTGGACTACATTGCAAGACCCAAACAAAAGAAAACAACAGAGTAATGACTGATGAGCCTCTAAGTGCCTCTGCCCAGCACAGTGCCTGAACTGAAAGGAAAGTTGTCAGCAGGCAGTTTCTGTATCTAGGCTAAGCCAGAAAAAAACCAAGTAATAGTTCCTGTCCCCTCCAGGCCTACCTCCCCCTTTTTTCATGAGATTCCCTGCACTCTGCCCCAAGTTTGGCTATTTGTCTCAGCCTCTGCCTTGATACATTGATCAGTAGAGTCTTTCAGAAGCCCTCTGTGGCAGGCTCCTGTCCTGTCCCCTGTCTTTTGCTTCCGATGTCTATCGCATTTGTCCTTCTGCATGAGGATTGAGCATCCTCCCTAGGCTCTTCCTTGTTGTTTAGCTTCTTTAGGAGTATAGATTTTAGTATGTTTGTCCTATATTATATGTCTAATAACCACTTATGAGTGAGTATATACCATATGTGTCTTTCTGCTTCTGGGTTACCTCATTCAAGATGATCTTTTCTAGTTCCCACCATTTGCCTGCAAATTTCATGATTTCCTTGTTTTTAATTGCTGAGTAGTATTCCATTGTGCAAATGTACATTTTCTGTATCCATTCCTCCATTGAGGAACCTCTAGGTTGCTCCCAGATTCTAGCTATTACAAATAGAGCTGCTACAAACATGGTTATGCAAATGTCCTTGTTGCAGAGTTGAGCATATTTCAGATATACGCCTAGGAGTGGAATAGCTGGATCTTGAGGTAGCACCAACAGAGCCAAAATAACAACAACAAAACAGGCCCCTGGGGCCCCTGCAGAGACTGATATACTAACCAAGGACCATGCATGGAAAGGACCTAAAACCCCTGCTCAGATGTAGCCCATGGCAGCTCAGTTTCCAAGTGGCTTCCCTAGTAAGGGGAGCAGGAGCTGTCTCTGACATGAACTCAGTGGCTGGCTCTTTGATCACCTCTCCCTGAGGGAGGAGCACCCTTACCAGGCCACAGAGGAAGACAATGCAGCCAGTCCTGATGAGACCTGATAGGCTAGGGTCAGATAGAAGGGGAAGAGGTCCTCCCCAATCAGTGGACTGGGAGGGGCATAGGGGGGAGAAGAAGGAGGGAGGGTAGGGTTGGAAGGAGACAAGGGAGGGGGTCATAGCAGGGATACAAAGTGAATAAATTGTAATAAATAATTAATAAAAATTAAAAAAAAAACAAGAGGACTAAATTAGCATCAGGGCTCATTTAAACGATGAATATTCAGGTGCTATGTCTGATCCTGCCTCCCAATCACTAAGGGAATGTCACTCATGATGACTCACTTCCTTGCATGAACATCACAAGGTAGCATAGTCTTCTCAATGGCTTTCTCCAAGTGGTGCATGGCGTTTCACCAGCAGAAGGGCTTTAGATGTGGTGTGCCATCCAACCAGTCAAACCCAATTTTAAAAAACTGGAAGGTATTTGTGCTTATGCATGAGTGTGCGTGTAGGCCTAAGGTTGCTGTCATGGCATCTCCTCAGTGGCTCCCTTTTTTTTTTTTTTTTTTTTTTTTTTTTGTCTGTGACAGCATTTCTCACTTTCTCACTGACAATGAATGTCATCCAATTAAGCAGGACTGGATGACCAAAGAGCTTCAGAGATCGGCCTCTCTCCACCCTAACCGTGGCTGAAATTACGGGCACATGCCACCCTGCCTAGCTTGTTACATGGATTCTGTGCATATGAACTCGGGACCTCGGCTGGGAGTGGGTTGGCAGCCACTCTCACAACTGAGCCATCGACCCAACCCTTGAATGCGTCCTTTATGATAACTGCAAAATAAGTTTTGATTAAAAAAAAAAAAGTCCAAGTCTCTCTGTTTTGCAGAGACGCTTATCTCTGGGGTCTGTGTGTGAGAGACGACACTCAACTCCAGCTACATCTGTGTTCTCCCTGGCCCATTATGTCACAAGTCCCCATCACAGTCAATGTCGCAACTGCAGTGTCCCTTACCAGATAGGCTCTCCAGAAGGCCTGGATGCTGACTGCGGCTGCCTCTTCTGTCAGTAGCAGGGAGAGGGGGATCGGTGGCCTCGGGCTGGAAAGCAATAAAAATGGTCAGAGGCTTGGGAGCATCCATCCTTCATGCCGGCAATGCCTTTGACAACATAATAGTCTTCCTGATTGAGGACCTCATCCATCCCCATTCTTAGAGGGCAAAAAAAAAAAAAAAAAAAAAAGAAAGTCATTTTGATGGAAAAGTATATGCTTGAGTTAGCGTTTCCTGTTAAGATCTGGGCTTTTAAAAAGTGTCATTCCCCCACCCCTGCCTGTGTGTGTATGCCCACATGTGTGTGCCCACGTGTGTACATGTGGGAGACAGATATGGTCCACCGTGGTTTTTTGTTTTGTTTAGTTTGTTTGGAAACAGGACCTTAAATTGAACTTGGAACTCCTTGCTCCTTGGTTCAGCTGGCCAGGAGGCACCAGGGAGTACCATGTTTGTCCCTACACCTAGCTCTGGGGCTTACCTGCTGCCACACTTGGCTTTTTACATGGCTGTCAGGCATCTGAGCTTGTGTCCTCATTGCACAGCAAGCACAGTACCAGCTGAGCCATTTCCCAAGCTCCAGTCTGGGCGTGCTCTTAAGACAGGGCTAGGGCTTTCTTCCTTACATGTTAGCCATACATGTCATCAACACAAGCCTGCGCCCACATGGCACAGGAGACTGAGTACCAGCCTGTGTGGGTGTTATTGCAACTTAATCACAAGAAAGGCTCTTTCTGCAGTGTTCTGATGATGGGAACGTAAGTAGCACATCCCTTTCCTGAAAGCAAAAGTCACAGAAGTTTCTCTCTGACTGTGCCCCAGCACTGCCTGAACTGGCATGGTAGCTTACACCTGCAAACCTACCATTTAAGAGGTGGAAGTGGGAAGATCATGAGTTCAAGTCAGCCTTGGCTACATATCAATTCTGAGGTTTGTTTGAGACCTCTCAAAACAAAAAATGAAAATCATGGCAGAGGGTGCTGAGCAGTTGAACACTAGCTAGCCTAGTATGCACAAGGCCTTGGGTTCAAAGCCCAGTTCAGAAAAGGAAAGGAAAAGAAAAGGAAAGGAGGGGAAAGGAAAGGAGAGGAAGGGAAAGGAAAAAGGAAAAGAAAGGAAAAAGGAAAAGAAAGGAAGGAAGAGAGAAGGAGAAAAGGAAGGAAGGAAAGGAAGGAGGAAGAAGGAGGGGGAGGAGGAGATGAAGAGAGAGCCTTGGTACAGCATGTTTGTGTGAATAAATGCTTTTAGATTTTTCCACAATAGAGGAAATCAAAGCCAGGAAGACAACGTGGTTCCCGAGATCCTGTCTGGGGGTGCAGTGTTGCCTCAGGCTCTGGCTTTCTGGCTGGCTGGTTGTCCTCCAAGGGAGAGAAGAAGTAGACATTTCTGTAGAGATAATCAACCCTTGCAAACAGCTTTGTGAGAACCTTCCCTAATGTTCACTTTCCACTTTTAGCCCCATCAGACGGTCTTTTGTTTGTTTGCTGCTTCTGTTTTTGCCTCTTCTTGCCTAATAGCTGTTTTCTGGCTGCAGTGCTCTGCCCCTGGAGTGCCTGTTTTCCACAGTCAGCGTCTTGCTCATCCATCCCTCCACTATCCGTAAGTGAGACATCAGTGTTGTGACACTGCCATGTCACCTCCCTGAAGTGACTGCCCTCACTAGTCAAGATCAAGTGGCTTCTAGACACCTTGGCATTTCAAAGGACACTGTGGTGTGGTGAGTGAACTTAGAACATAACACTGTAATGTACCAACACCTGCTGACATTTACTGAGCACCTGCTGGCCTCATGCAAACCAGAACTGTTCCCAAGCTCCAGGCACCCTGGCCTCTCAGCTCCTCTGAAAAAGTGCCTCCAAAGCTCCAGGGCACCAGGACAGTTGGGCAGGCTGCTCTCTTCTCAAGGGCAGCGAGCAGAGGAGATGTGGGGTCCCACAACCTAGCCTGCGATCTGCTCGCTTAGCCCTACCTTGTGCTGTGGGGCCACAACTGCCCTAAGATGAGGACATTTGTCTTTAATCTGCTCCAGTGTGCCTGGGGGCTGGTCAGGGCCAGGCACATTTTTCTCCTGGCCCACTCTTAGGCCTCTTCTGAGTTTCACTCAGATCTTATTTAAAAACATCCTTTGATTAGGTTGGGGTCTCGCTATCAATCTTCCTAGTCCTTGACCCAATTTGAAAACAAATCTGTGTGCTCGTGTGATGAAGGTCCAGATCTGCATGACTGAAAGCCACAGGAACGCAGCCTAGTCTCGTGTTTGCCAGCTTACATCCCAGCATGCAGTAGGCGCGCCATACCTGTGGAAGCAGGCCACTGTGGTCAGAAATCCGACAGAAGCACCTTAAGGGAGGGGGCCTTATTTTGGCTCACAGTTCCAGAAGGATTTCAGTTCCTCATGGTGAAGTCGATGGCCATGTGAGTGTGTGATGGAGATCCCTTATATCTAAGCTGTCTTGGAAACAGAGAGCTAGAATGAAACCAGGGTATGACTTTCCAAGTACCTCCCTGGGTTACTTACTTTCACAGCCAGGCCTCAACTCCAAAAGGCTCCAGAGCCCTCCAAATAGTCCCACACATGCATAGCATTCGGGGTTCACAATGAACCCATGGAGATATTTCAGAATGAAACCCCAACAGCCCAGCTGTGTAGTAAGTGCTGTGCTGTACAATGGCTTCATGAAATCTTTGCAACAAAAACAAGGGCTGTTGTGACCTTGTGTTTAGGGCTGAAGAGGCCAAGAGGTGTGATGAGGAGGATTGGATAATGACAAAGGGAACTCATTCAAGGTCACTGACTGCTTCCTACTGAGAATGCAAGCTGTCCAGATAGAGGGGGTGACCAGAGAAGGGAAGAGGCAGCTATGAAGCTAAGAAGTCTCTAAGATGGAAGTAGGAGTCTAGCAGCTGTTGGGTGATAAATAGAAGAAAGCATGGGTACTTGCCTAGGAGGAAAAAAAAATGTAGGGAAGAAAAGCCATAATCACAGAACACATTCCTTCCCTGACCTTACAGTGCAGCAGACTGTCATCTGTCCCAATCTCCTCGGCAAAGTTCTGCGTGAGGGCGCTTTAACAAGGCAGACTCTGTGGCCAGCATCTGAAGGGAGATTTGATGGTGCCCTTCTTTTCACTGGCCATCTTTTCTGCTCTAGGTGTGTTTCTCAATTCTGATATGGTGAATGTCAAAGTAACCGTGTTGCTGTTGGAGACCAGAAGAAGGAATAACTGCAAAGCTGAGGACACAGGGGAGGGGGGGCCAAGCCAGCCCAACAAAGGGCCCAGTAATGAGACCTGGAGCCACTTTGCATCTCAATGACATGTGCGAAAGGCAAAATGAGATGTCTAATAGGCCTGGGAGGCAGTAACGTGATGCCACTTCTAGTGATGCCCCTGGCTTTCATGGCTAAAGAATACATCGATGTCTCATTCCCAAACAAGAGTAAGTTCGAGAGAGCCGGCGCACATCCAGCTGAATGAAGAGGGTCTACTATTGCAGAGAAGCGCCTGGGAACTATTTGCTTCAGCAGGCCAGGCTTGAAGGGCCAGATGCCATATCAGGTGCTTCCCTGTCTTGGAATCAGTGCAGCTGGCCTCAGGTCAGATAAAAATAAAAGGGCAAGCCTCATCACCAGGACCCTAGGGGCAACAGAGATGAATGTGTCAATCACGGGAGGCGGCTGCAGAGTGGCCCCTCAGGGCTGGGGATGCCCAGCCCCAGAGCAGACATTCTATTGCTGAGCGTCTCCAAGACAACTTGCTTTATTAGGAGCGATGACCAGCATGACGGCCTCGTTTTACTCTTAAGTGGGAAGTAAATGTATCTGCAGCCTACGAATCAGTGCTGTACTCTTGAGAGGAGCAGAAACTAGTTTTCCTGATAGTTTTAAATCATGTGGATTTAAAAATGTGTTCAAAGGCTTTCCCAGCCTTTTTATTTTTATTTTTTTTATTTTTGTTGTGAAGTAAAAGATTTTGGGGCAGAAAGAAGATACAGGATGCTTAAAACTGGGCAGTGAGAACAGGGCCAGAGAGATGGCTCAGTGGTTAAGAGCACTTGATGTTCAATTAAGCCCATCATCCCCAGCCAATCTCTGAAGAATCTGACATCTCTTCCTGTCCTCATGTGAACACCAATGCATACATGTACACACACACACACATATATGCATACACTCACAGACATAGACACAGACACACACTAAAAAGATCTGGGATCTTTAGGTGGCCCTCATTCATTTCTCTACCCAGTTGTAAGAACTATAGAGTCAGGCAGAAAGAAAGGAGAAAGGCGGGAGGGGGGGAGGAGGAAGAAGGCAGGCAGGCAAGCTTGCCTGGGATTAGACATTAGATTTCTGATTAAATTTATCCTCCTTTCATTAGGTAAAAGATGAGCTGTTTTCTTGGAACATAAAAGCAAGAATGACCCAGATAGGAATCTAGTTCCAAAGATGACATGGGCCAAGCTTGCATCAATCATCATAAAGTCTCTTAATGGCCTAGAATTGGATGCCATCCACCTACTGTACCTGGCAAGAGATGCAGCCTTCCACCTTAACTGTCTTACTCTCCTACAGCCTTTATTGGACAATTACATTCTGGAGCAAGGAGCACAGACGTGAGCTGGTATGTGTAGAAGGCAGAGGTTAACGTTGACTGTCTTCCATAATTGTAGTCCACCATATTATTTGAGGTACTCAAAAATATACCTGCAGTGTACTGAGTCTACTTGGCTGACTGGCCACTGAGCACCAAGAAGCTCTGTCCCCATGCCCACAATAGTAGGGTCACAGGAAAACTGTAAAACTGTACCCAGGTTTTAATCCGGATGTTGGAGATCTGAACTCAGGTCCTCAGGCTTGCACAGCAAGCATTTTTTCAATTGGAGCCATCTCTCCAGCCCTGTCCCCCACCCCACCCCCAGCCTTGACTTAGGAATGTTAGCCACTGGAAGGAGTCCAGTAGACTTGTCTGGAATTTTACTTCCAGTCATTTGGCTGACTGCGCTTCAGATGGGATCTCCTAGGATCCCTTAAGACCTAGTACTCTGTG